TGTAAAAAAAGTTTATAAGAATCATTTTATATATTTTTCCATAGCATTACATTTGAATTTAACAGTTCAATCTTTCAAATAACGGACAGATATTTGTGAAATTGTGATACATTTGTGAATGTATTTGAACAATCTAAATATGCACATGTACAGACAGATATATTTAAAAAACGAGAAAATTATGTTTTGTTACATTTACAGTGATTTTACATTAATTTACATTTGAAATATAAAATCACAGCCTATTTATGTAAATTTAATGATATTCTAGAAAAACAGTACAAAACTATAAAATACACAGTAAAATACTTTTATATTACAAATTTTTTTACAGTGTGCCACATTCACCTCACAAGCACCGTCTCTAAACTGAGTGCTTTTCTAATGACATTCACACTCTGATGCATCGGGGAGCAACTTGGGGTTTGCATCTTGTTCAAAGAAGAGGAGACGCTGCTCAGCGAGGAACACGGCCTGTGTCTGCCATCAAATTCAAAATGAGCTTAGTTTTCTTAAAATGGTTCATTTTCTCAGTGTGAACATTTTATGTTTTCTGTTCTATTCAGAATAAAAATACAGAACCAAATAAATAAAATAGAATTATTTGATATAATGAATAAAATATGTGTTTATGACATTTACAAATCATTAAATTCTGTTTTAATTCAGACTTTATAAATAAGACCGTCACCGCTCAATGGATCAGGATACTTTATTAATGCCTGAGGATTCTGTAAATATAACAGGTTTACTATATGAAAGACAAAAGAAAAATGCAGACTCACATGGAAGCTGAAGGCTGGTTTCTCTTGTGTAACTACAATTTACACAACACTGTGGTTAAGAATCCCACGGTATTGAAGCCGAGTGTGGGTTTCAGATGAAATGAAAATAGCAGAACATCAAAGTTCCTTTTATACGATTCTGAGGAAAAAACTGTTTCAGAGTTCCCCTCAGAGCCGGGAGCTCAAACACACAGATATTGACCTGATGAAATATAACACAGTTTGGCCCCTGAAGTGACTTTTTTGTTTGTTTTTGAGT